CGGGGTGGCGACCCGCCGCTCGGCGCGCCTGGCCGACGGCGACACAGGGCCGGCGGGGGTCGGCAGGGGTGCAGCGGCCGCGGCCGGGCCGCTCCCGACGGAGATCGGCACACCTTGGCCCCGGCGCGACACGGCGACACCGGCGGCGCCACAACTCAGCGGCCGGCGCGCCGCGGAGAAGGCCGCGCTGGGTGGTGTTTACGGCGGCGGCTGCCGGCAGATGGCAACCGTATCGGACCGGCCGACGACTCAGAGACGACCTCCCGGGTCGATCTCGACCCGGGAACGTCATAAAAACGGCCCAGGTCGGGCGGGGGGGGGGGGCGCTGGACGGGGTCTGCGTGACCCGGCCGGGTGGTCCCCCCCCCCCCCCCAGCTGAGCCGTGTGTCACCCAGCCTCTGACAGGCGACGGGGCGCACCGCCACCTCCGCTCTGCAGGGATGGCACTGCACGGCACGGGATGCTCGCAAAGGACGCGTGCGCACGCGCATACGCAAGTTTACGTAAGTGTTTGGGAAAAAGAGACGTCCCCCGGCGGTGAATGTAATACACGCTGCACGCAAAGCCGTCTACGATTACCACACAATACTATGCCACCGAACTAAATTACATAGCATGCCTATGGCGTGAAAAGGCAAGTGTTTGGTTCTCGATGCCCACGTGGACGTGGTAATTTATCAAAAGGCGCGCGTGCATTGATACTGACGCTCAAAAGATCAGTCATGGGTGTCGGCTTTCAGAAATCGACGATCGTTTCCACCACGCGCTGTCACAGAGGGGAAAGCACGGAACAGAATAAATGATGACGGCCCACGCGATATGTCGACTAGTTGACTGATGCCAGGAGGCCGATGTTCACAAAGCTGTGCGGCAACAGGAGGAAAGTGATCCGGCCAAGGCCGGGTGGCACGAGCGCTGCCCGCCCGCGCTCACCGACTCCCTAATGAGCCGGCAGCGCCGCTGCCGATCGGCTGGCGAACGCGCCACCGTAATTAAAATCCCATCATTCCGCTGATGCGGCCGCCACCAACTCAACCGCGATTTGGTCTCGAGCTCCAAAAACAACACGCCCCATGAGCGCCGCCATGCCCTCGCCGGTGGCTGCTACTCCCTGCCGCCACACGTGGGCGACGGCGGCGGCGGCGGCGACGCGGAGGGCCAGGCCGGCCACGCTCCTGACGCCGGTGGGCGGCGGCCGGGGCCTCCCGCTGCGGCTGGCCCGCTCCCGTTGTCGGTGCGTGACGGCCGACCGGCCGGCGGCACGCGCCGGCAGCGGGACCGGCGAGGTCAAGGTGCGGTCACACAAACAACCCGGGCCCGGTGACACCGGCCAGAGCGGGGCCGCCCAGGGAGCAGGCTGCCGGGGCAGCGGGCCCAGCAGCACGAGCACCGCGGACCTGCTGGAAGCTGCGCCTGCCTGAAGGGCATACCGGGACGGATGATTGGTGCGGATGACCCCGGGCCGGCCGTCCTGTCATTGGGAGCAGCGCGCTGTGATCAGCCAGAGAAAGGCTGCGACGCGGCACTGAGAGTGTGCGGAGGTCACGGTCCGGTCCAGTGTAAGGTGCTTGCTTAAAGAGGGGACGTTACGGCGCGGTGGTGACGTAGATGTGTGTCACTGAACCCGGCTCGATAAAACAGCAGCTCCACTCTCACTAACACCGACCCGCTTTACGTTACGACACAGGGCTTTCAATCCCCGTAAAAACAAGGAGACCTAACGCTGCCACGACGTCAAATATTGCATAACTTAACAACAGTACCTAAATATTGATTGAATCACGTCTTTCACCTCATCTCCGACACATTTAAATCACGGCTGATGGAAGGGATAGATCGTGGGGCTGTTTGATCAGATAGAATTCCCCTGTCTCGGCTCTCTGGCGACAGCCGGCCTCTTGCACAACTAGCGACACCAGTGCGCCGGTTTAGCAACAGCTGGGCCGCTTTGGCCGGCCAGCAAGGCGGTTATAATTGGCAAGCATCGCAATGCCGCCAGAGTGGCAAATAGACGCTGGTTACCTCACCTGCCACAATCAACCCGACCATGGGGCAACCCAGGTCATCACAATGAGCCGCCGTGACTGGTCAGCAGGGCTGCGCGAGGTTAAACGGTCCTGAAATTGGATCGTGAGCTCCCGCACTTTGCCCCCGTTTCCATGCGCTCCACAATGCACACGCCGCTCCCGGAGCACTCTCTTGCCCTCCGTTCACCGGCAGGTAACCACCAATACAAGAGAGGACTGCTTTCTAGCCTGCTGACCCTGATTGTGCGGCATTACGGAGACGGTGATGATTGACATAATGGCGCTGGCGGCCGGGCGGGCTGGCGCCGGCGTCGCCCGCCGGTCTCGGCCGAGACCCGCACGGCCGAGGCCCGCCGGTCCCGGTGGTGCGGACCTCCGCTTTCCGCAGCGACTCGCCGGCGCTCGGCGCGCTCTCCACGGCGCCGAGCCGGCAGACCCGCCGGCCATTGTTCGGTCTGAGCAGCGTTTCACAAAGGCGATTAAGCCATCCGGATCAAGCGCGGTGCGCTCACCGGAGAAACGCTAATTCGCAGCCCGTAACGCGAGCACAATGGCGCAGGAGGCGCAGACTCGACATCTGGCGCACTGCTCGGGACCGGCGGCTCGTGAGCGGCCAACGCGCCTCGCCAGAGTCCGGACGGCCCGGGCTGCCGAGGAGGCGGCCGGCGTCGGCCAGCGACCGGCGCACCGCGAGGCGGCCGGGGAAAACGGCCGAAAACGACGGAAAACGGAACACGGGAAACGACGCCGACCGCCGCTCGGAAGCCAGCCCAGTGTTTATCGATCCTGGTTTCAGAAAATTGTCGGGCAAGCGAGACCGAAGCGGAGACGCCACACCTGCACGGCCTGGCGCCTGTAATCAGACGCGGCGGTCTTCCAGCCACGCGATGGCCTGCGCCGTCAAAATCGAGATCGCCGCGGTGAAACGCTCCGGTGGCGCGTGACGCTGTGACAGCGGCGTGGCCGGTGGAGACCCCTCGTCCATGGCCGCCGCCGTGCGCCTGACGGACTGACGGCATCGAGAGCCAGCGAACACTCCGCGTTCCCCAGCCCCCAGCCTCCGCCCCCAGCCGGCACCCATAGCGAGCCAACGAACATCCCGCGTTTCACAGCCCCCCGCCTCCGTCCCCAGCCGGAACCCATCGCGACCCAGCGAACACCCCGCGTTCCCCAGCCCCCAGCCTCCGCCCCCAGACGGAACCCATCGCGAGCCAGCGAACACCCCGCGTTCCCCAGCCCCCAGCCTCCGCCCCCAGACGGAACCCATCGCGAGCAAGCAAACACCCCGCGTTCCCCAGCCTCCAGCCTCCGCCCCAGCCGGAACCCATCGCGAGCCAGCGAACACCCCGCGTTCCCCAGCCCCCCGCCTCCGCCCCCAGACGGAACCCATCGCGAGCCAGCGAACACCCCGCGTTCCCCAGCCCCCAGCCTCCGACCCCAGCCGGCACCCATAGCGAGCCAACGAACATCCCGCGTTTCACAGCCCCCAGCCTCCGCCCCCAGCCGGAACCCATCGCGACCCAGCGAACACCCCGCGTTCCCCAGCCCCCAGCCTCCGCCCCCAGACGGAACCCATCGCGAGCCAGCGAACACCCCGCGTTCCCCAGCCTCCAGCCTCCGCCCCAGCCGGAACCCATCGCGAGCCAGCGAACACCCCGCGTTGCCCAGCCCCCAGCCTCTGCCCCCAGACGGAACCCATCGCGAGCCAGCGAACACCCCGCGTTCCCCAGCCCCCAGCCTCCGCCCCCAGCCGGCACCCATAGCGAGCCAACAAACATCCCGCGTTTCACAGCCCCCAGCCTCCGCCCCCAGCCGGAACCCATCGCGACCCAGCGAACACCCCGCGTTCCCCAGCCCCCAGCCTCCGCCCCCAGACGGAACCCATCGCGAGCCAGCGAACACCCCGCGTTCCCCAGCCTCCAGCCTCCGCCCCAGCCGGAACCCATCGCGAGCCAGTGAACACCCCGCGTTCCCCAGCCCCCAGCCTCCGCCCCCAGCCGGAACCCATCGCGAGCCAGCGAACACCCCGCGTTCCTCAGCCCCCAGCCTCCGCCCCCAGCCGGAACCCATCGCGGCCCGACGCCACTGAGGAGCCCCCGGCGTCGTATTACGATAGATCTGTCGCACCTCATGTTCGATAACTACCCATAGTTCGAGGGCAAATTCGGCTTTATTCGCCGGCAAATAACCGTAATTGGGCGAGGCCTAATTTATCTAACAGCCGTGAGACGCGTGTTGAACCACGCTGACCGCCAAGGCTGCCGGTCTGGAGCGCAAACCTTCCAAGGGGTCTCGCGGCCTCGCGAGATGGAACAGCTCACAACAGGTCTGTCTGAGCGCCGGCATGGGAGTCGGCTTTCGTAACGTCAGTTCATGACAAACATCAACTGGTCTCTGCCACACCAACACCGAAGTCCGATTGATCTACATGTTGCCAAATTACCCGCGCCGTAAGAAAGTGAACGGCCTCGTGAAAAGCGCCGGCTCCGCTCAGAGTCGTTGTTGTAAGTTCTCCTATACCGTCTTTGCTGTAATTCATCACTCCAGGCGATGCACTGAGCTTTCAGATTAAGGCAGACCAAGCACAATACGATGAGGTTACCGTTCCGGAGCTGACATGCAATACTCTACCCGGCATGCATAGGCATTTACATCACTTACAAACTGGCTGATTGCCTAACGGCTCAGTTCAAGGTTGTAAGGCTGCGACCGGGCGGGCCTGAACAGGCTAGACCACCCGTTTTTACAGGCTTGCACAATACTCGCTGACAATCGACGCATGCTGGCCGCTCCAGTTTTTGACTGACAGCGTGGGTGCCGAGGACAAATTCAGCTCTAAGTATCTCCATATCACACATGCCGCCGTATTTCTCTGGCCGCGCCAAAGGATCACGCGATAGCAGATCTTTGACCGGCCAGCGACATTCGGCTACTAGGGCTCACACGGACAGAGGTCATGCACCACCACCAACCTTCCTCGTCCTCGGCCGAGTGGGTGTCACGGGAAATATCTGCAAACACGCCGCTGGCTCAGACCACAGGTGGGCCAGCCGACAGGTCGTCGCAAACGACGAGAGGCGCGAGCGGCAGACGGCTGGGTGGCCCGGCTAGGGGGAGCAGGGTTACAGCGTGGACAAAAGTGACAGTCACTCAGGCTAAGGGGGAACAGGGTTATAGCGTGGACAAAAGTGACAGTCACTCACGATAGAGGGAGCAGGGTTATAACGTGGACAAAAGTAACAATCACTCAGGACAGGCGGGAAAGGGAGGAGAAGTGGAAGAAAACATAACCGAACACATTGCAAAAGGGAAAAGAAAACGTCACCGCGAAAAAACGTATGCACGAGAAATGTTCGCAAACGCAGTGACCCTGCTAAAGGAAACTGGGCCCTTCGTTGACTTGTCACTCACTGCAGGCACTGGTGACGCATCACTGATCGCAACGATGCATAGTAACAACATTACTGCGGTGCCCTCGAACATACACTCCATGCAATTTAGCGGATATCATCTGTCCGCCTTTGTACAATACCTTGCACTGTCCAAAGCTTTATGTATCGACAGCTTTGAATAGCATCAGGACCAGCTCCACCAACTGCTTTGAAATAGCGCAAACGCGTGAACAGTAGTGTAACAGGGAGAAGGAGTACATAACCGTCGCTGTTGAGCAGTGATGAGACAATGAAGAGTAAGCATCCTAAATCACTAATAGTGGGATAATGGCTGTCGTGTTACATACTTTGTGATGTCAAAGGAGTCTTCCAATTAATTATTTGCTGTAAACTACAAACATTGCAGTGTTGGAAAAGGAATCGACTCAGTAAACCCGGCGATACCGCTTGGTGTACCGCTAGCAGCATTATAGGGCTGCAAGAAATAAAAAATGTGCATTTTTGGCTGGCAAGAAATGCGCGTTTCAAAAAGGTGAAATGACAGTTTTGTTTCAGAATGTGATAAGGCATCATAATCCACTTCGAAAGGATCGAGTTCTGAAAATTTAAGCGTCTACAACTTGACCTGCCTTTGCCGGAGGGGGAGGGGTTATGGACATTAAGGAATAGACCATGATAATCCCGTCCATGGATTGTATTTACATTTCAAGCTGAATCAGATTGCGAATGCGAGCTCAATTTTCAACAAATGCCTCCGTAAAAACCGCACATTAATGCTTTGATAAATGCAACGCCTAAAAAATAATAAACAGCCCATCACGCGATATCAAATCCTTCAATCCGACCTTGCCCATTCCTGGTAGTGTGGCATGCGGCACGTGTGAGGAGTGGGTTATCCTGTCGTCCAGGAGGCCGCAGCACGTGGCGCGGCCGTTCCAGCGGTGAGGGTAGCTCCTGAACCGTGACGTGCTGTGACAGGGGAGGGGCGGGAGGGGGGGGGGGGGGTGCAGCGGAGCATCGCACGCCAGCGTGCGGTACAGCCGACCCATCCCTCTGAACGCCGCGGCCGCAGGGAACCGAGACGGACACAAGGCGGGCGGCGATGACGCCTCGAGATCCTGCTTGAGGGTCCGGCTCAGTACCCTGGCACCGAGGACGCGCGTCACGTCCGGCACGGGGAAGGGGGAGGGAGGGGGCACGGGTCAGGTCTGCCGGGGCACGCTGGCACGGACGGGGACATGTCAGTTGCACGGCGGTATGCCGGCCCACCGCCTTCCTATCCCGCCAAACCAGAGATGGGTGGCTTTGGGCAGCCGGTTTGTAGCGGCCGGAAAGTAGGCCGGTGTGTGCGGCGGACTTTCCGCAGCGCACCGCACCACCGGTCCGTGATCCCCCAGGTCTCCCCCCCCCCCCAACCCACTCGTCCCCAGTCTAAAAGACACGGCTCAGGGATCTTCTCGCCACTGGGACGAAGGCAGTATAGGATGTTGCCTTCCGGACTGCCGAATAACCCCGTGTCTGTCGTATGCACTATATCCCACACGTCACTGCTTCAGGATGAAACGTCCTTTAACGCTGACCCGTGCACCGGTCAGTTTCAGCTTACTCAACAAGTGGAGGTCCATGTCTGATTCCGATCAGAAGCCTTTGTTTAAAACAGACGAGTTTTTCGTCAGATGCCAAATGTAAATTTCGTCAGATGTTAACGGTATCAAAGTGGCCGCCGGCATGAGAGGCGATAAACAAACAAAGGACATCCGTCAGCCTCCGAACAATGCGCACATTCCTTTCCTTTGTGCAAAGGTTGGCTTTGCTATTGTTGTTTAAGTTGTGCTACGCCGTGCATTTAAGTTACGAAAGCCATATGGAAGATAACATCTTCAGCCGCGCCATGTAACGCTGTGACATCAACGTCCTAACAGTTACCTTGACGATGCACTACGGCACATAGATAAGACTTCAAGGCCCTGCCAATTCCTGCTTTGTGTTTACTGGAAAAAGCTTCTTTGCTTGGCTTAGTTAGAGAATACCTATGCTTCGGGTAAATATTTCTGTAGCCTCCACAAGGACAATATGAATGGCATTGTTGTCGACAGCAGAAACTTAATCGAGCGAAACATGAATGGAGCCGCGTGATGATTATCAAGGATAAATTTATAAAAAGAGGACATTAAAAGACGTCAATACTTAAGCCGTGGAGCCCAGCTGATCTAGACATATCATTGAAGAAGGCATCGAAATTCACTTGCAATTATCATTGCTAAATCGAGCCGTAGCTAAATCGTCACTCAGCCCATATGGCATAGTGATTTCAATCGGCCGAATTAAACATTGCCGTACTCGTGATATAATAGTGCGTGGGTATCTCCAATGTCGCCGTGCTCTCTTTAAATTTGTCTTCGCCGACTGAATTTTGCCAATGCCCAAAGGCAGTGTCAATTTTATTAGTGTTCACTGTCCATATGCCACTTACGTGTCATTGCCATTGTCTGCCTTTTGAGCATGCTCGCCTTTTGGCTTTTTTTCTTTTGAATGACATTTGTTTAAGACGTCTAGCAGCCATCACGCCGTTCCGGTCATGTTTCACAATAACGAGAGTAACAGCCGCAGTCTCAACACAGTTATGCTGCTGTGCGTCCATGTCGATGTTATCCATGTTAATCCCATGAAAAGCAGAGCGAAATGTGCCGAAATGCAGGGCTTTTGAGACTAAGCCACACTAAATACCTTCTCCGGTGAAGATTTAACAATGAACGAGTACCGATCTTAAAGAAATGTCTCTCAAGTCACACATCGCTTTGACAGCTACAAAGCCGCATGTAGCAGTCTCTTGTGACGTGTTGCCACCCGGTCAGGAATTGGCGTGAACGCCACATTCACAACACACATCCCCTTCCCAGTCGTCGCAGCAACCGATGCAGCGTGAGCCAGACACGCCTGCGGCCACCGCCGACCACTTCCTTTCGAGCCAGTAAACGAGGAGGGCGCGCGGGGGGGGGGGGGGGGGGCAGCGCGGCCAGTGGCGCACACCCCGCCACGGTGCACTGAACTGGCGGGCGAGACCGAGGTCGCTGGGCCACCGGCGCGACCACCGCGGCTGTGAGCTCCATACGGCCCCCTTCCATACGGCTCCATACGGTCCGCTTCCAAGTCAGTCCTGCCGCGAGGCTAGCGACCCAAAACGGCGCCAGCCAGCGGCCAGTTGGCTGTCTGGCATTGGCAACGCAGCTTGGCGAAAGGCGCCTTTTCATACAGCCGAGCAGTTCCAGATTTGGCCGTGGGATAAGGCACCCCACGGTGGCGCAGTATCACAAGGCCGCTGCACTATCACAAGGCCCTGCGGTTGACCAGAGTCCAGTCGCACCCGCTTGGATCACACGTAATTTCCCGGATAAGGCCTCTGCAGCGATGGAGTCCCCGGTTGTGCAACTTTGGTCTGATGAAGCCCCCGGCGGGTACGCCTGCAGCAGGCTATATGATAACTGACAAAACGGGCGGAATTTCGCAACAATGCAGATACATCACGGCCTCGTAAGAAGTTGGTTTAACACTTAAAACAAAGTTAGGCTGAGCGACTGAAAGGATATTGCTGAATCGAAAGGACCACAGTGTAATGCTCAAAGTTTTACGTTTTACACTCTTGGTAACCACGCGTTGCCCCACTTCACAGCTCGTGAAAATGGGTTCGGCTGTTAGGATAGGAAAGACCACGTTTCCTCGATTTTCTTTTCAAACACAGTTCTCACGAAGTACGCCCATAATTTCACGCATTGGCGTCCCAGCCTTTTCCACCAGTTGACTGCGCCTTCTTGTCAGTCTGTGTAAACGTACTCACCGCTATTTCCTCGCTGCGGTAAGGATTCAGTCCCGTCAAGTCCGGTTCAGTGAGAGGTGGGGTCATATCGGGTCTGGTCTGGTCTGGTCTGGTCTGGTCTGGTCTGGTCTGGTCTGGTCTAGTGCAGACTTGACCTGACCTGGCCAGGCCTGTCCGGGGTACTCACCGCCATCTCCTCGCTGCGGTAGGCCGTGAGCGACTGCTCGTCCTGCAGCAGCACGCAGAAGAACGGCTGCCAGTTGACCAGCGGCACACCGTCGTCGTGCACCCGCTGGCTGCCCAGGTGGCCCAGTCGCACCGGCCGATCTGCCGGAGGTCGGACGAGCTCAGGTCACCGCGCAGGCGCAGCCGCATCGACCGTCAGAACACACGGAGCTTCGGACGACACGGTGCGCTGCCCGAGCAGAGATCCCATGTGGTATGCGATTCATAACAGCTGGGGGAATGAAGTATGATGGTTTAGTTAAAGTATCATGGCTATGGTTTGAAAACCAATGGTTAGGTTCAGGTGACATGGCTCCTGCTCCAGCAGGAGGCAGCTTACTTATCAAGCAGATATGTTTTATAACGATTTAGCACCAGAAAATCGAGATATCTTAGCTTTCATCCGCCCTTCAAAAGAGGCGCTCTGTAGATATCCCTAGAAGTCTTTCAAAATGATCAACGATGTCCACCTAACGCATTTGGAGGACACCATATTGCTATTCTGACCTCGCACATTTGGTGAGCATGTCAGTGCAGCTGCATTTTCAAGCGCTGTTATCATGCCTCACGTATTTGGTTCGGATCCAAAATAGACCTATCGCCTTCGAGCGTAGCCTGTGGAGAATCCCATGGCCTACAATGCAGTGTGATATATACCACAATTAAACTTGCCTTCTGCTCATCCCTCACAGCGGTTGCGAAAGGAGACGCATGCCGCATGGCTTTATTTCGGTTACGGTTGCTCCAAAACCTGAACACGGTTAAAGGACATGTCAGCACAGCGTTTGTAGGTGGCGCCACGCTCAAAGCACCGTGCGCTCGACAAGCGCGCATGTGCTGCCACCTAGCAAGCGCCGTGAACTACAGTTTCCCTTAAGCGCCACGAAGTAGTGCGCTGCCGCGGGAACGCAAGAGCACAACTGCAGCGGAGCACAGGCTCGTAACGGAGGAGACTTCGAACGGGGTGCTCCTCCAGCGGCAGAAGGAAAGTCGAAAACCCAGACAAGGGGCACTTATGGCGCTGCTCAGTCAACAAGGACGTTTTTAAGTTCAGCATTAGTGACCTAAATCAGTTTTAACACGGTACTTTCAATTCATTTCATGTGCGTGATTTGCGTCCGTTTCGATTCTAGCAGGCAAGCCCATCAAACACTCATCTGACCTAATGCATCGACAGGCTACAGGAGCGATTGTTCAGACGAGTAAATACATCCCGTACTGGGGGTCACGCCAGGAAGCCATGAAATCAACACCGTCCGGACAAACTGGATGGCGTCACGCCAAATTCATCGTTTGCGTAACGATACAAGCCGATATTCTCAGAGCCAAAGACGGGTCAGGGTCAGGGTCACGAATAAATGTGTAACAAGGATGGGCTTGGAGCCACTCTTAACTACGTTAACCAATGTTTGGGGTGACAAACTACACTGGACAGCAAGCCTGGGGCCAAGCGTATGTAATGCTTTATGCAATGCAGAGGCATCCACGAATAACGATTGGGAAACAAATGGGTGGAAAGACAGCCTTTAAAGTCAGGCCAGCTAATGTTCACATGTGCCATGACCAAAATTTGCGTAAATCCCCAATTCTGAATCGGAAGGACATCACGCCTGAATGGGAAAAATGGAAACGGTGAGTGGCATTCGTGGGAAAGTCAGGTGAAGAATAGTGATCGCCGGAAGATAGCATTCATTCAGCAGCGGGCGCATAGACAACAACTATCCTGATAACAAATCAGGGCTCCCACGTTCTCGACCACGGCCAAAAGGATCCGGGATCAGTTCCCGCGGGAGCCGACATAGGCAACGTGTGCAGCATGCCTCCCTCTCAGTTCGCTCGTCGGTGTCTGGGCGTCGCGCAGTGCCTTCGCGGACAGTTATGCGCGGCCGTTACGTCGCCGAGCCCTGAAGCGCCGCATCGGGGAGGGGAGGGGGGGGGGGGGGCAGCTGTGCCTCCCGCGGCGCCGGCCGCTGGACACCTCCCCGAGGAACGCCACCGCTCAGGCCGTCAGTCGCCAGGCGACGCTGCGGGGTATCGCCCCTGGCTCGACAGGTCGCGCTGTACGCGGTCCATCCGCTGGGCCGTGGCGTCGCATCTGCCGGCGGGCCGGCCGTCGCGAGCGCCTTCGACTATTCCCGCCACGTCCGTATGCGGCTGCCCGCACGCGGAGACTGTGCGTGCACACCGCCGTCGGTCAGCCGGAGGACGGCCTGGGTCCACGCGGTGCGCCGCCATCGCCGGCCGCGTCGTCACGCCACCGGCCGGCCGCCCGAGCGTAACGCCCGCCGTGCCAATGAAAAACCGCCGCTGTCGGGCATGCCGCCTTACAATGGGACGTTAAGCTATGCTGGCCATCAGCCACGGCTCATAAATTAGACAGTAGATCATGGAAATCTTGTTAATCGTCTTGCCAAACACAGCGGTGATATCGATGGACTGTGCTTTGTGATTGTGCTGGCTGGTGACGGGCTTGATACAGCAGCAGGCTTCATCTCACGTACAGGATTATGCTCTAGTGGCCTAACAACCTGATTAGGACACTAATCCGGTCTCTCCATTGCGATGAAAACCCCGATACTGCAGAGTTTAGCCTGCCCTATACTGAAGAGCACAGGCAGGGGTTGTCCCTACTTCTTTCCAACTAGCAAGTAGCAAAACAGATACCTGCCAGGTATGAAGGGTGGAAATGCATCTCCACGCATTACCGGTGATGTTCGAAAACGTGCGCACAATGGGACCGGAGCGCTGTCGATCATACAAGCACGGCGCTTATCTCCGCGTCAGTCGGCGTTATCCGAAGGTTGGTCTGATCAGTAATCTCCCCGCCGCAATACGTCGGTCCCGTGGGAAAGTGTCCGCTAGAGTCGACCCTGCGTGCGATCTCCAGCCGCCGGGAGTCTGACTCATGGGCTCTCTGCGGCCGCCGGGAGCCGGTCCCATGGGCCCTCTCCAGCCGCCAGGAGTCAGTCCCATGGGCCCTCTCCAGACGCCAGGAGTGCAACTCATGGGCACTCTCCAGCCGCCAGGAATCAGACTCATGGCCCTCTCCAGCCGCCAGGAATCCGACTCATGGGCACTCTCCAGCCGCCGGGAGCCGGTCTCATGGGCCCTCTCCAGCCGCCAGAGGTCAGTCCCATGGGCCCTCTCCATCCGCCAGGAGTCAGTCCCATGGGCCCTCTTCAGCCGCCAGGAGTCCGACTCATGGGCACTCCGCAGCCGCCGGGAGCCGGTCTCATGGGCAGCGCGGCCGCCGCAGTCGGTGTCGCGGCTAATCTGACGTCCGTGTGTCAGTGCCATCGGTGCGACGGCAGCTGCGCCGATCCAAGCGCGCCTAACGGCCGACGGACCGGCACCGAGCCCGCCGCCCTGCCCACCGGGCGGGCGCTCAAGGCCCCCAGATGACGGCCGCTAGATGGCATAGATTAAATGCCGGCCCGCTTGACGTTTTTACGGCAGTGTCCGGAGTAAGCGGCGCGGCCACAGGCTGGGCTTAAACTGCACGGAGCGTGCGGAACGGAAGGACACACGGCGTCCGAGGGGATGGGTGGCTATGAATTGCCGAAATTGTGGTATGCCTTGGGTTACGCTGGGATGGGCAAGTCGGGCAACTTAAGTAAAATATGCATAGTTCAATTTGGAGATAATTCAGTTTCAATATCACCCCTCCCCACTCCCCCTTCCTTGTTGGCATGTTTTCGTCCTTGTGACTACCTCGAGTGAAAAGCGCATTGCTAGACGGATTGCGCATTCGCAAGCCTTTGACCATGCGAGGAATCCGCCGGCACACGGAGCGCTCCACGACTGCAGGATGGCACGCATTGCCGTCGCCCGGCCTGGCATTGACGACGGTCCGGCGAGGCCTAACAGATGAGGCCCGCCGCGCCCTACCAGGCTGTCGGCGCGCTCGCCGCCGCGCCGACCGGACCGCGAGAGGCGCCGCTCCTCGCGCCTGCGCCAGGTGGACGTGGCGGCCTCTAATTGCCCGGCGCGATGCCATCGCCGCCCCGCAGCCGGTCCGAGCCGGTGACCAGGGCTGTGACAGAAGGCCGGTCCGAGCCGGTCCGAGCCGGTGACCAGAGCTGTGACAGACGGCCGGTCCGAGCAGGTCCGAGCCGGTGACCAGGGCTGTGAGGGACGGCGCTCCAGCCGTTCGAGCCGGTGACCAGAGCTGTGACAGACGGCCGGTCCGAGCCGGTCCGAGCCGGTGACCAGGGCTGTGACAGATGACTGGTCCGAGCCGGTGACCAGAGCTGTGACAGACGGCCGGTCCGAGCCGGTCCGAGCCGGTGACCAGGGCTGTGACAGGTGACTGGTCCGAGCCGGTGACCAGAGCTGCGACGGACGGCGCTCCAGCTGGTCTGGGCCGGTGACCAGGGCTGTGACAGATGACCGGTCGGAGCCGGTGACCAGGGCTGTGACAGACGGCAAGTGCGAGCCCGTGACCAGGGTTGCGGCGGATGGCGCTCCAGCCGTTCGGGCCGGTGACTAGGGATATGACAGACGGCGTTCCAGCCGGTCCAAGCCCGTCATCAGAGCTGTGACAGACGGCCGGTCCGAGCCATTCCGAGCCGGTGACCAGGGCTGTGACGGACGGCGCTCCAGCCGGCCCGCCCTCGCCCGATGACGGGCCAGCGCGACCATCGACGCCACCAGGTCAGCCGGCCACGCGGCCATCGGCGGCCACCACGCGGCCCGGGTCGCCTCTTCCGACCGGCGGTGCCGCCAACATTCCATCACGAGCCCATCGATAGAGTAGGTGTGATGACGTAGCGAGCTGACCCCTGGTGGTGAAGTACAGCAGCTAGGGACATTACAGAGGGAACACCAACAGGGCTAATGAAATCGGGCACCGCAGGGAATAGGGTCCACTCACGTCGGAACACTCAGCGCAGTCCGGGAAGCCAAACAATCCACTTACAACACCCAACAGGCAGATCCTCGCGTGTCAGGCTCTGTAAGTAGCACATCGGTTTCCCACTGAATATGGTGCGACCGCCGGTCGGGCAGTGCGTGTTGGCTCGACAATGTCCACACGAAGCCGCGTGATCCACTGCGGTCGGCGGACCGGGACGTCCCATCCCGCCCCGGGCCGGTCGCGCCCA